AGTGAAGCCTGAGCCCGGTATGACAACTCAGTGAACCGATGTATCAAGCTGGCACCCGCATACATCACCCTCCGCACGGCCGACACTGGTGATTAATGGGATCTCTCCCCCTTCCCCCTATAACGGTTAATTGGCTCCTGCCCCTATAACTGTTGCTTACTTTTCGTGGACGCTTTTATCTCTGAAGGTGGATTACCGCAAGGGCCCGACAGTTCAGGACTAAACAAAGTAATCCGGTGCTCGACAACTCTTCTTCTACAACAACCATAATATGTCCGAGCAGCATTTTCGATTAGAAGGGAATTCATAGGATTATTGCCATCAACTTAATAAAAGGACAGACAGATTCACATATCTCGTAAACAAACCGCTACTTAAAAGGACAGAACAAAGAAGATATTGTCGTAGAAGTCAATGCAGCCTTCAGATCTCTTGGAAACTCCCAAAGGCGAAAAAAGGTGAACTTGGAGGAATATCCTAATATTCTTGAGTAGCTAGCATCCGTCCAGTCAGCCCCTGTGCGTGTTTTTCGGTGCTGTGCTACGCATCGCGTTGGCTAAGAACGAGACATGGGTGATAGAATTTGCTATAAAATTTCCTATCCTTCTTTTTCTAATAAATCAGTTTCAGGTTCTGCTATGATTTCAAGCGCGTACGTTGCGAAGACTAGGCGTATTCTTTTGACAAATGACAGAAGTCCGGTGTCAAGCAGTATCAAGGTAGACATTTTTCAAGACATTGATTTGACAGATGTTGTGAGGTCTCGGATACCCAAAAACCGGTACCATGTGGACAGGAGTCCACTAAACGAAGTGGACTCGGATAAAGATCTAGGCATCTGGTCAGCCTCAAATCTGCTGCCTTCTGAACACTCTAAAACGACCGTCCAAAGGGCGACGAGCATCCTGCAAGGGATCACACATGCTCTCATAATCTTTCCTATTGAACTGTTCGCGCGAACTTTCAGTAATTTGTTAGACTGCACCTGCAATACAGAATATCAGCATGGATGCCGTAGATGAAAAAGACGATGATGCCCTCGAGCTGTTGTAACGGTGGGCAAAAAACCGGTGTACCGCCTTAGGACTCAGCCTTACCCCAAAGGACTGGTCGAGCCTAATTTGTTTCTCCTATCTTATAGACAAATTAGGTGCTACCCGCTGTGAACATTCCGTATTATGCACGGACATGTCTATTTATTGAAATCAGAAGATTGCCTTGAGTTTACAAACATGACTCGCATGCGCAGCCATCTGGACAAGTTCAAACGTAGATGCATGTGCTCAGTTTTTCTTCAGTCAACGGGCGGTTCAACCGTGGAACTCCATTCCAAGTGAAAAAGAGACGTCAGATACCGTTGATGTGCACACACGTTAGATGGAATGCTTAGTTTTTGATAAACGATGACCCTCACTGCAGGACTATTTTCGACCAGCCACAACTTCAACTTTATGATTTAAATTCATATGTATCAAACCACAACATATGTGCCGTAAAAGTGCTTTTATAAACAGTTCAAGTTATTATATTTTATGCTGCCCGCATATACGATATATTTTAAGAGGCCAACCCGACCCTTTTGCTTGCAAGCAAAAGGGCCAAGTTGGATGTAGGCTATGCAGACAAAAGCTTGACACCCTGTGACAAGTGCAAGTGGGGGGGGCTA